CGTCAGTTATAAAACTCATGACGTCATTCATACATATATGGAAAGATCTGAGCAGGGGTTGACTTACCCCTGAGGCAGAGTAGTTAAGACACAATGTTCTTGTGCAAAACAAGCTTGTGTTCAAGCCTAGAGAGAGGTCGTCAAAGCTTTGACGAAACACTACAAAAAGCTGTAAAAATGAAGAGAGAAAGTAAAAAGGAAGATGAAGAAGCTTCCGGGAAGTAGCTTGACGATGATGAAGTTGTCGCATTCTTTTTTTTTATTGTTACACGTATAAAGATGTCAATGACAAAAGGAAGAAGGGGAGTATACCAGGATGCTGCTGCATATACGGATCATATGTCCTTGAGGGTGGAGGAAGTGAGACTAAAATCTCAGGTAAAAAGAGATTGTTAGGCATCATGAATCTCTTCCTCAATTCAACAACGACAAGAACGACGAGTGTGACGACGATATCCCTCATTGGCCATCTAGCCATAGCACAATTACGTTTTTTCTCTTCCTCTCATTTATTTTTTATTTTTTTCAAAGTAAAAGCCGGGAGATGGAGAAAAGAGAGCTTCAAATGTGATCGAGATTGCAGGAAAAAAGCTTCGCAAAGTTGTTGGTAAGACTATGAAGAGAAGGAAGAGAGAGAGAGAGGTAGAGAGAGAGAGAGATGAAGGTCGAAAGAACAAATTAGGAAAGAAAATAAAGAAATTTGTAGTCCGATAGATGCTTAAATGAATTGTTTTTCATGTCGGCCAAGCGGAAAGGAGGAAAGCATTTTCTCCTTTTTTCAGTTCCAAATTTCATTACTTTGCGGACAACTGGACGATGGTGTAAACGAAGAGAAGAAGAAGAAAAAAGAGAATTTTGTGACAAATTAATTCACACAAAGAAAGCTTTTCTATTTTTTTTTATTTGTAGTGAACTTTGTTGTTTTTCAATTAAGTGATGAAGAAAATTCGTTTGGTGCGATGAGTAAGCAACTAGACCAACCACAATGAGAGAGAGAGAGAGATAGACGTAGAGAGAGTATATAGAGAGAGAGATTGTGAGTATTAAGAGAGAAATGATGACTGTGAATACTGAGTGAAGAGTAAGCTAAATGCAGAAGAAGCTTAAATGGAGCTTTTAGTTCAGTTCGTCAATTGAGGTGAAACGTTTTGAGCATCAGAAGCAACATGTGTGACATTCAGTATACGATCCTCTCCTTCGCCTTTTTCTTCCTTTTTTTCTTTGTCATTACAATTGCATTTTTGAAATAAAGGAGAGAATTGATCAATGACTTGAAATTATAGCCTGAGGGCATTTGAATGGAAAAGCAATAAGAAGGAGAGCAATTTGCTTCCACTTCGTCGTCATCGCAATTTTCATTTTAATTCATGAAAAGATCACAAAATCTTTTTTGAAACTTTTTTTTATTTATTTCCTAATCTTCAATTGCAAGAGACGGGAGGGATTTGGTTGAGCAAGGGGTGTTGCTAACGGTGTTCAAGTATCATCCATGAAGCTTTTGAGACTCCGGAAATCTTCAGATTTTAAATCCGGAAGGTAGCTTTAGCTGCTTGGTGTTGCATAAGAAGCCCGTGCTAGTGAAATTCGCAATGAGAACGTAGATGTATGGAGAGTGATAGCCCCAGGCTATAGCCTTTATTTGGCTATAAGCTTCTTGCTAGAAACTAAGCTAATAAAAGCGGGGAATGACCAGATAGGAAGGACACTATGATGCTGGAGATGAATTGCAAAGGCTTCAGTCCATATGTGGCGATGAGATGAGTTAGGTGATGATGATGATGGCCGGAGGCCACAGCCAGCTTTCATTTGTGCATATATGGGGGCAAATTAATGAAAAAGCTGTGAAATGAGCTTAGAGCTATTTGATGAAAATGAACTTTGGAGGAAAGGGATGTGTAGTTATATCCTCAAATGGAAATCCATTCATTAACAGATAGATTGGCAAATAGTGAGATAGTTGGAAGTTACAAAGGAAGGAAGAGATGCGAGGGTGTTGCTCCAGAGAGATTATTCCAATTTTGGCTCTCCATCTTCTCATTCCTCAACTCTCTCCTCTCTTCCCATCTTAAAACTTTTTCCATTATAAATTATGTTTGATAAGGTTACTTATTTAAGTTGTTAAATGCTTCTCGTAAATAACAAAAAAGCAAACTGAACTACCGTATTTGGAGATAGAACGAGAGTAGAGAGACCAACGAGAGGGTGGGAACAAAAGAGGAAAGAGAGGGAGGGAATGAAGGCGTGTAAAATGGCAGATAAATGAGAGAAGAGAATGAAAAGCTTGAAAGGACGAAATAGAAGGAATGCGTGTAATATGAGAGAGATCAAGAAAGATATAAGGTTAAGAGAGAGAGAGAGAAAGAGATATCTATAGAGGGAGAGGATGTGATAGAGAAATCGAAAGTAAAGAGAGAGAAAGAGAAAGGCGGAGTGAGTGAAAGTATTATAGTAATCATCAAAATTATTTTATTTTTCGAGATCATTTCTTCATAAACAAGTCCACTGTATTGAAATTGAATCTTTAAGAAAGTGGTCTGACCATCTTTGGATGAAATAAAATAGGCAACGAGAGAGTATGGCATGATGAAGAGATGCCAGACAGATTTCAGTTCAAATTTCAGTTCTAATCAGGGGTGGAATGGAGGAAGGAGAAGTCAGAAAGGGCCAATGATTTAAGTTTATTAAAAGTTGTATTTTCATGACAAAATGTTGGTAAAAGATTAATTTTTGATCAAATATAGAAGAGAGAGAGAGAGATGATTGGAGGTTTAGAGAGTTACAAAGAGAGAAAGAGGAAGGGAAAGAGTGGGAAGAGTACGAAGTCGGAGGAGCTGAAGAGATGAAGGCATTTGGATACATCGTAAGGTATATGTCTCTCTCTCTCTCTCTCTCTCTCTATCTCTCTCGTCTGTTTTTGCTTCTTTCAACTATATGAAATAAGCTTTTTCAGCCTAAGAAGGGTTTTTAATCCGTAAAAGGAAACGAGCGTTCTTCTCTTTATGCAAATGAAGATTCTTTGTTTCAGAAAGAAAAAGGCAATAGAGGGTTTCACTCTCTTCATATATCTCTTACTCTCTCTCTCTATATGTATACCTCTCTCTATATCTTTCTATTCAAAATATAGTTAACTGCTATACTAAATATAATTTGAATAAAAAGTCTGAATTGAAAAGTCATAAACGACTAATAGTATTGATAATTGGAATTCAGCCAATACTTGGAAATAGCATATTTGAATATGAGAGACTGAAAGTATAGAGAGAAAGAGAGAAAAAAAGATTATGAGGGAAATGATAGATGACAACGTCAAATAGAGAGAAAGAAAGAGGGAGAGAGAGAGAGAAGGGAAGGTGGAGAGAAGGAAAAGAGACAGAAGTTCAGGTTGCCATGAGAAACCCTTTTTGTTAATTCAAGTTTATCCACATAATATAGAACTTATTCTCTTTTTTTTCATAGTTGAATGGCTGATATGATACAAGACCATTGGTGGATGAGAGGGAGGAAGAGAGAGAGAGAGAGAGATAGAGAGAGGGAGTAATGAAGTGAGAAAAGTAAAAAGAAATAGAGATGGGACTGAAGAACACAGAGAGAGAGAGTTAAACGATTAGAGGGGAAAAATAGATTGAAGAAAGATGTGTAAAAGGAGTGAACGGGTGGAAGAGTATGTGGGAACCTCAAGTACAGTAGAAGAGAGAGAAAGAGAAAGAGGGACACAAATCTCTGGGAAACGCAGAAAAAAAAAGTAAAAAGAGATTTTTTTCTGCTTAAGAGAGAGATAATGAATCCTTCAAAAGAAATTCTTTGTTTTCAAAAGTAATTAGTTTGTAAATAAGAAATTTCTTCTGTTTCTCTTTAATTCCATTTTCACTTCATTCAATAGAAACGAATCTGTGGAAATGAAGTTCAATTAAAGCTTCTCTCTCTCCTTCTGTGTTGGGCTCATCTATGTGTATTCCTTTCCTTTCGTTCATTCCACACACACACACACATACACATCATTCTCTCTATTCCCTCTCTCTTTCTGTTTTTCCTTTTTTCTTTTCCCTATCTCTCTCTCTCTCTCTTTATATCCATTCTGAGGGATGATTTTCTAAACAACACCTCTTATCTCTACTAAGAAGAAGAAGATGAAGCATACGAAGATGTGTCATTGTATGAGTTATTCGCTATAAGCATCTTGTTAAAGTAAAGTCTACATGGGTTCATTGGTGTCTTGCATGGCTCTTTCTCTCCTATTCTCATCCACTTTCTTCTAATTCCCTTGCCATCACATATGTGGCTATATGTGTGTGTGTCTATTGGTGTGTTGAAGTATGTGCATCTATCTGATGAACTATCTAAGCTTTTCATCATTTTCGCTGATAAGAGCGAAAGATACGATAATGATAGTTAACGAATGTTTTTCATTGTCCATGTTTGGATTGTTTCACAAACTGGGAGATATCTTATCGAATATTCAAGCAAACGAAGAAGCAGAAGAAGAAGAAGAAGAAGACGACGGCGACGACGAAGGTGCAGAGGAAGCAGAAGAAGGGTAACCAAAATATCGTTGGGTAAGCATGAATCGAAAAACATGCATTTCTGACCTATCAAACACCTACTACTATAACCTTATTTTCCTTTTCTTTTTCTTTTTTTTTTCTTCTGAATCTTACTTTTTGAAAAATAGATATTGGGAGTTCAAAAATAGCTTTGCTCTATACAAGGAAGCCAAGATGAATGAATGAAAAACGATTGTTGAAAGAGGGGAGAGTGAGGGTCAAGCAGATGCAACAAATATGCAAATGAAGGAGCAAAAAAATACTTTTAGAAATCAAATAAAGCTTTGAGATTGTGCTAAAAGCTTTATAAGCTTGTGGATCGAGTCCATATATAGTATTTAGAGATCATAGATTCACATTTTCTGCTTTCAAATCATAAACGAGATATACGAATGAAGATGTCAACATACATACATAGATGATATATACTATTAAAAGAGAATTATATAAAATACTTACCGTATAACAATAAAGATGATACGGCTGGTAGGAGAACTGTAACGACGATCAGGGCCCTCATATGCCCTCAGCCGTCCTTCTCCATATGCACACAACTAATGCTGAAGCCGATCGATGTATAGGGAGAGAGAGCCAGAGACCCACCCCACCCCCTGAGGGCCTAGATAAGCTCCGCCCAATCGGAACCTTCCAACATGCACGGGGAGAGCCCATAGAAAAAAAGAATTTTGAGATGGAAGGCAAGTATGATGGGCGAAGAAACAGAGCCACCCACCCTTCCCCCTTTTTAACCTTTTTTGTTCAACCCAATAGATTTTGCTTAACATTTTCTATTTTAGGATATTCGTCATCTAGGTTGTCGTCACACATCTACTCACATATCCTCAGGAATGATTTTGTCGTTAAAAGTCATCTGATGACTGTGAAGTAAAAAAATATAAAGAGAGAGAAAGAGAGAGAGAGTGATAGAGAGAGAAAGGAAAACAGTGTGAGAGTCAGATATGCAATTCTATGCTCATTGCCGATAGACAAAAGCTTCCGCAAACTGATTAAAACAAATGAAAAGTGTTGGGTGGAAGATATTTATTCATTTGAATTCATTAGATCTTGTCTGATTGTGATATTACAAATCAGGATGCAAGTTGATAGATGAGAGTTGCCTTCATCATCGAATATGGAAAACATCGGGGGTGGAATGAGATGATGTGCTTCTTAGCCGTCTTCGTCATCGTCATCGTCTTCATTCTCAGATTATTTTTTTTTTCTAAAAAAAACTGAGGAAAAGCTGAAAATCGTAATAAATTAACATATAAGTTAATGTGTACATTAAGATAATGAAGTTACTTAGGATTTGTAAAATTATATTTTTTCTCAATTTCGTCTCTTAATGAAGATAATTGAAGTTTGTGAGAGGAGATTCCATGTTATTCATTTGTAAGTAATCGCAGATAAAGAGAACGAAAGATAGAGAGAGAAACAGAGAGAGAGAGAAAGAGAAAGAGTTATACGAGTATGATTTAGATAATGTGCTGATGAAGAGAGCTCAAAGAGAGGGAGAGAGATAGAGAGAGAAAGAATAGAATGAGATGGCTAGGTTAACAGAAAGGAAGATAATTGAAGAGATATGTGCAGAATGAAAGAGTAGCAAAAGAAACACAAAACATCCTCAAATAGAAAGGAAGTAACTTTGAAAATTAAAAAAGAAAAATTCTCCTAAAACAATGATTTGCAGAGCAGATTCTACGTGTTGCTTACTCGCATCCTTCTGTCTCTCATTGCTCTCTCTCTACCATATATCATATCATTCATTCTATCTCATTCTCTCTCTCTCTCTCTCTGTATCTCTCTCTATCTGTATCATTCTTGGAAGAACATTTCTTAAATAGGAAATTTCTAAAAATATCTTTGCAATGTCCTTTTTCACACCCAAATATGATATTGTTGAGTTTGGTTAATGAAAATTTTGATTTTTAAGCTTAAAAACGGATGTTTTGACCTTCAACAGGAGAACGGAAGGAATAAACACAATATATATCCAAAGGATATTTCGTCAAAAAAAAAAAAAATAGCCATATACGGTATTTGTATGATCGAACATATCAATTAGCATATATACACATCATATCTATATATCTAGTTATATATATATAGATATGTACAGATCTTTTTAACTATGCCTATATAGTTAACTTGTTGTAGTGAAATCACTTTTTTCTTCCCTTCAATCTTTACGACAGAACCTCTACTCAAGCAGCAAGCACAGATGAGATGAAAATTTTGTAGAGAAAGTAGTATTGAGAAGCAAAAGAGACAGGAATAGAGAGAGAGATAGATGGGGATGGATGTTGGAGATGGTGGGAAGAGTAAAAAAAAAATTATTTTTTACATTGAAATATATCTTCGAAAATGAATTTCAATCTCACGCGTGCACGTGAAAAGCTCAGAAGAAAGCGCGGGAAAATTAAAATATTTTCATTTCATTCATTGTCATTTGCAGTTGAGCGGTCGCTCATATTGTAAAACTCCACACGTAAATAGGCAGAAGATTGTACTTTCTTTGCAAGGTCTCTGAATATGTAAATTTTTAAAAATTAGCATGGAAGATGTCATCTACGTACGTGTGTATGTATGTATGTATGTATGTATGTGTAGATGTATGAGAGAGTAGAAGAGATGGAGAGACCATCCATGAAATGTATTTTCAGATTCATTGATTCATTGAAGTTTAGACATTTTGTAGATTTTTTTTCTTTTTTTTGCCGGAACTTCATTTTCATTTTTTCTTTTTTTTCATGTTTCTCTTCCAATTGACTGCTCAGAACTGTTGCATTCATGGGTGAGCTTTTGATATTTAAATTTAAGCTTTGACGGAGAAGCTTGGAGAGGTTTCGCTTTGCGTTTATCTTTTTTTTTTCAATTCATCGACTATGCAGTTGTTTTCAGATTATTTTATATAAAATATATTTATTGTTGTAAATGAATAAATATATTTAACTATACGTATAATTAGTCAGTTTCTATTCCGTTATTTTGTGTGATTTTGTCGACGTCGTTGTCGTCATTGTCGTCGTCGTCGTCATCGTCGTCATCGTCAACGTTCCATCCTTCAACACATCTCTCTCTCTCTCTCTCTTTATGAAAAACGGTTTTATTCATTTTCAGAGGCAAATAATCAAAATATTTATAAGAAGGTTTGAAGATGAAAGAAAAAAAAAGTTTTTTTTATGCAAAAATGAAAAATGTTTTTGCGATTGCGACAGTTCAATTTGAGACCAAAAAAGGGAAGATTATAAGTGACTTCGTTTAAAGGGAGAGTTGCAACTGAAAGTATGAAGCATTGAAAAGATAAGAGAGTTGATGAAGTGAGGAAGAGAGAGAGAGAGAGAGAGAGAGAGACTAATGGAAAATAATAATTCGTTATAAGGGCAACTTGAAGAGAGATTATTATTAGATTGGAGAGGATTGATGCTATAGTTCAAAGGTAAGACATATAGAGAGAAACTTTACTAAAAGGTACAAATAGAGAGTAAGGTAAGAAAGGAGAGATAGAGGGAGAGATATGGAGGGAAAAAGTGTTAAAGAGAAAGGGAAAATGTACTAAAAGAACAAAGGGCAAACACTACAAACCGAAGCTCTCAAAAATTGCTTGTTTCTCCCTTTTTTGGAACAAAAATATTTCAACTCGACTAGCCGCCGTTTTGGCGTCATTTTTCCTTTTAACTTCACCTGGGGTAATGAGAAAGAATGCTGAAGTGCAAAAGAAAACGCAACTCAATAGAGCGACATCATAAAAACGGGTGGAGAAGCTCAAAAGGAAAAGCAGGTGCGAAGAAGTTGCAACCAACCTCCACCCACACAATGCCCTAAAGGCTATCTTTTTGAGTTATTCCCAAAATTTGTAAATAGAAAAGAATTTTCGGTTGGTTTTTTTATTAAGTTTCTCCTCACTTATTCTCTTTCTCTTTTCCTCTTTTCCTCTCTTCAACTCTCTCTCTCTCTCTCTTTCTCGCACTTCTGTTGCGAACGATTCCAGTTGTTGAAGATGTGAAACAGATCTGTTTATAGTTTGAGATATGGAAAGTTCCCTTTACATATCACAAACCGTAAGATATAATCTTTTGATGATTGAAGCATGAAGCTTTTCATGGAATTTTATGAAAATCCATAGAGCAAACGAGAATAAGAAGGAAAAGCTTATTGCATGCTTGCAAGTTTCATTTCCGCCCTAGCCTGCCTTATCAGAAATGTTTTATTTGAATTAAAAAATGAAGATGAGATTATGATTGAGAAGAAAAAATTTTTAACAAGAGAGGAAGAGAGAGAGAGAGAGAGTGAGATGAAGAGTTACAGAGAGGATACTGAAGAAGAAGAAAGAAGATAGAGAAACACAGTTGGAGAGGAAGAGAGGGTGTGGGTAAAAGATAAAGAGTTACAGAGAACTGTAGAGAGAGCTACAGAGAGAGCTACAGAAAGAGCTACAGAGAGAAAATTATAGAAAGAGAGCTACAGAGAGAGAGACTGTCTCACTCAAATGGATTAAAAACAGGTCCAAGAAGAACCCTGTTATGCCAACCTTTATTTGAGTTTTGCGCAAGACTGAACGAAATATTTCCGCAAATCTTAGGTAAAGTCAACATTTTTATTTTTCTTTTGCTCTTAAGATTATCATGAAATACTTAAATTACAATGAAATATCTAGAGATACTCTTGAATGTGCAAAGCTTAAAAGATAAAGCTTAAACATCGGTCGAATCACAAAAATCACTTTTGAAATCCATGAACAATGTGTTTTTGCAAGAAAGACAGCATGACAAAATCATTTTTCATTAGTTCAAAGCTCGTTTTTGACCGAAGAGAAGAAGACTGTCTCAATCGGAACGTATATGAGTCAGCAGCAGAATGACGAGAAGCTTTTGAAATTACAAGAGGTGTCAAATGAACGAGCGGAAGTATTTATAAAGAGAGAAAGAGGTGAAGAGAGATGAGGAAAGAGAGAGAAAGAGATATAGAGAAAGAAAGGCTATGACTTCACTCTTTCTCTCTATCTCTGTATCTCTTTTCGTTTTCGAAGAAAATGCATTATCTCATGAAGAGGATGGAAGAATGCCTTTCATCAAAAGGCAATGAAAGAGTGTGAAAGAGAGAGAAATGAAACAGTAAGAGAAAGAGTTGAAGAGAATGATGTATCCTGGGGCAAAGCTTAAAAGGGCAGTCAAAAAGCCAACAAAAACTTGTCTCAAATTCTAGTATTCAGGCTTTCTGTGTGTATGTGTATGAGTGTGTGTCTATGTCTTCGGTGACCACGCAAGTTCAACTGAAATTTGCATTCAAATTCGAACTGGTTTTGAAAAAATTTTTTGAAAACAAAGTCAGTTCTAGCAAGACACATTGTGAACAGGAGAGAAATAGATAGAAAGAGCAAAAAACCATTTTTATGAAAGCTCAAAATGGAAATTGGGAATGGAGAAAGAGGAGAGGAGAAGGGACGGGGGGGGGAGATAGAAGGTTTCTGGATGGATGGAAAGACGAACGAAATTGAGGAAAAAGCTTTCAAGAGATCATTTAACAGTTCCAAGATCATATATATTATAAAAATAGAATCTTTAAACAATAAAATAAATATTATAAACTAGATCTCAAAGAAACATTCTTGCGTCATCTTCCGAAATTGAAAAATGATAAATATAGATTTGGAAGAGATATGGTAAGCATAATTTATGCAAAAATTTCAATAATAATTGCTTTTCTCATTACTAATCTATAAGATGTTACGTTATATACTTTCTCTCTACTGGTTGATGGAAACTCTCTTTCCCCCCCTCTCTCTCTCTCTTTATAAGTTCTTCTCTCTCTCTATAACTCTACCTCTCTCTCTCCCTCTCTCTCTATCCATCTGTTTATCCTTTTATCTTCGAGTTGTCAATTATTCTTTCGAGACAAAATATCATTATTGTCTACAATACGAATCCAACCGCTCATTACGTCATCGAAAAATAAAAATTGCATTTTCACGCTCTTTACACGTAAATCCAGAAAGAGCAGAATATTGTCGTTTGACGGGATCTGTGCAGAATTGGACAGCTAATCAAGAACTGCCAAAATCTGGATTTCAAAAATTGAGATTTGGAGAGAAGAAGAAAAAAAAGAAGAAGCGATCCTCATCTGATTTTTTAAAGAATAAGCAATCTGTTGAAGCAATCGGAGCTCATATCACTACAGACGTGATTCTGGACAATATCAAGTGGATGAGAAAACGAGCAGCAGATGAACATTCCTGAAGGCAAAAAGCCGGAATGCATTTTATGGAAAAAGGAAAGAAAAAATGTGAGCGGAGACACTTGTTAGCACATTCCTTCGATGTTTTTATTTTGTGTCAAATAAAGACCGTTCGTGACATATTGGTCCTGTATAATCGAAAGATCGAAAGTATTGAACCCTCATCCTCAAATTATAATTTTGATAGAATCCCATCTTATACAAGGCCAGCTTCATGCTGTTAGATAGGAAGCTGACGGTTAACATCCCTTGAATCAACGTCCAGTTGCTGATGGTATCAAGAATATAGTTTAAGCAAACAGAAGCTGATCAAGAGGTCACTTCATCGTCCAGCAAAGTTTCAAAGCTCGTAGCGTGGATGCAGCTGACTTTCCGAGAGAAAAGAAAAAAAAGTTTTGAAATGATCAATGACCTTCGTTTCTTCTGGAGGAGAAGTTTCTGTTTACTTTTGTTGTCAAATGGTTTGAGCAACATTTCCTGTCTGACCACATTAATAGCATATTTGAGATGAAATGGGAGAAAAAAACTTTTTTTTCTACTTTGTCACACCTTTCCATTTCTGGAATTTATGCCTTATGGGTTAATCGCTAAACATCCAATGGTATTCAATCAGTTTTTTGTTCTCTCGGAGCGGCAAAAGCAGTCAGTTCTCTCCTGGAACCCGAATGGGCGGACGACGAGCTGCTAGAAGAAGAACGATAAGAAGAGCTCAATATCGTAAAATTTACCGAAGAGAATCAGAGAAGAACTTGCCTTCCGAACATCTAAAAACATGCGTTTTGGTATTGATGTGAAGAGAGAATGAGAGAAACAGATAGATGTCTAAGAGAGACTGGCAGAGCCAGCTGCTGACACTTCGGGTTCCGGCTCCGCCTACAAGCTTTGCCCTCGGGCAATAGGTATATAAAGACGGTCAGAGCACATGGTACCCATACAGTCGACTCAAGTCTTCCGTTCTAGCCTTCAATACTCAGAGATGTTCCGTTTAACAGTTGCTTGCGCCTTATTGGCCCTCTCTTCAGCTCAACTTCCAGGTAAATATCTCTCGCAACATACCAAAATCTAATTTTTGAACATAACTTTTGTCATTCTAATTCGTATCATTAATATGTCATATAATTAAAAATATACTTCAATATAATGCTCTTAAATCATCAAATACTAAAATTACCTTTTAAAATTGAAAACATAATTCTTCTGACCGTCTAACCAACTCTTACAGCTGCTCCATTGTACTCGGCCTGTGGCCCAACTGTAGGCTGTGCCGTACCAAATGTGTGCCAAGCTAATGTGTGTGTCCCTACTGCTCCAGTGGTTGCTGCTGCTCCACCGGCACCAATCGCTCCAGCTCCTCTCCCAGTTGCTGCTCCAGCTCCATTGCCATACCAAGCTTATGCTCCAGCTCCAGTTTTAGCTCCAGCTCCAGTTTATGCTCCAGCTCCTGCTCCAGTCTACGCTCCAGCTCCAGTTTACGCCCCAGCCCCAGCTCCAGTTTATGCTCCAGCCCCAGCTCCAGTTTACGCTCCAGCCCCAGCTCCAGTTTATGCTCCAGGCCCAGTTGTTGCTGCCCCACCAGCCCCAATTGTTGCTGCTCAACCAGTCGCTTGCTCCCCAGGATGTGTCGGACCAGCTGCGTAAGTTGAACTAACTCCAGAGCGAGGATGTTGAATATTAACGCCTCTGTTCAATCGGAGATAACCTACCTATACCTTTACCTCAACTAATTCCGGTTATAGATGTGTTGCCGGAGCTTGTCAATGTGCTAACCCCGCTGTTGTATACAGCCCTGTTGTTGGATGTGCCCCAGCTATTCCTGCTGTTCCAGTTGCTCCAGCTCCAGTTATTGCCGGACGTCTCATCCCACAAGCTCTTCCTGGAGCCCCATGCGAGCCAGGAGTTGAATGCACCGGAGGATCTGTCTGCTCTCTTGGAGTATGCCTCTGCCCACCTGAGCTCGTCCAGGAAGGAACTGTCTGTGTTGCTAGAACCATCTACGGTGTTGTCCCTCCACCAGTCATCCCAGTTGCTCCAGTTGTGCCAGCTATTCCAGTAAGTTGTTTTTCATCATTTTCATGTTTTCGAAATAGAAACAACGGAAAGAGGCTCATTGGCACATTATGTCAGGTCTTAGAGCTCAATCAAATAAAAGAATAAGAACCTGATCCGGTATCTTCGCGCTTGACGATCCGGTTTCCAGTTTATTTCTCTTTTTTGATTGTCTCGTTTTTCTTTCATTCTTCTATTTTCGTTAGCTATGAGCTTTTGAGCGATCATGTGAGATTCAACGTGCAGTATGTAGACTCCTCGTATTCTTTGCTCTTCCCGTCTATTCTCCAGAATTCTCATACATATTTTTGTCTTTTATATCGTCCACTTGTAGCTCGCGATAGTTTCTTCTCTCCGCTAGCCATTCGACGGTATTTGCTCGTCCATGCACATTCAGTTCATCGTTTGATGCACCCAGTCGTCTAGACTGGTTTTGTGCCATTGATCAGCTGTCTTGTAGCAGAGTGGACGAGCAAGTTCAACGAACCTCTTAGAGAATTCTGAAAATTTTCATAAACTGTGAAAGAGCATTGAAGATCGGAGTACTGTTTTACATGCAAGTTTTCCCTCATTAACATTACTAACCTCCTCCATCCTCCCCTGATGATGAAAGTAACTCTCGGACATTCTGTTCAACTGTTGCAATCCTCAAATGAGGTCGGAAACTACTGTACTACATTTAACATCAAAACATTTATTACTCAATGAACGTCAACCTAATGACTATGGATTCGCAGGTTGCCCTCGGAGCTCCATGTGTAGCTGCTGCTCCAGCCTGTGTCCCAGGAGCTGTCTGCTCTGCCGGACTCTGCCAATGTGCTCCAGCTTACGCCCCACTCTCCGGAGGATGTGTCTTGAGAAGTATGAATCCTACCTTATAGCAAATAATTTTACCCTCCTAACTTCATAACTCTAATCGAATGCTTTGGTTCTTGCCCCTCAGTCAACCTGAGACATAGACAGTAGCAAGAATTAGATTTCACTTTTCAAATCATCAACACACCATCGCATCAATACACACACTAATTGATGTTTATTTTCAGAGTAAAAAACTCTAAAGAGGACAAAAGAAGCTGACCGTTCAAAAGTCAAAAGCTCCAATAAATTAAATATGTTTGTACATTGAGATCATTTTCGAAACAATAAATGATTATACGGTTATATCTTTGTTATTCATTGAATCATCATTACATCAGAGGTGTCTATTTAGCAGTCTCTTCAACAGCCAGAACTCACAACTGCTCCTTGCAATACCATAAACGACGAACTGTTCCCAGTTTATGAATATCTTCGCAATTTCTTCAAAATAACATTTTTTCCAACGGGCGGTTCTGACCTACAAAAACTTAAATGTGTTTTATAACCCGCCCCAACCCTCGAATTTTTTTTTATAAAAAAAAAAAAATTCTCAACCCAAAATGGGATAAAAATCCGCTGCCACGACTGTACACTCGTGGGCATAATAGTTTGGCACCCCTCAAATTTGGAATAGGGTGCCAAACTATTTTGTCCACGAGTGTATATACAGTCGTGGACAAAATAGTTGGCAAGTTGCGACCTACCTGACTTCTTGAACCTTCAGGCATCTTTCTATCTTAAATAAAACTATTCAATCTTTATTCCGAAAAATATTTCAAAACACACCTGAGTACAATGTATTGGCCACGACTGTATGTATTGTCATAATACTTGTGCCCTTACACTGACGGTTAATATTCAAAAGTATTTTACAACTTCGCTATAGGACCTCTCTCTCTATCTCTCTCGCTATTTGTAATATGTCTCGCTATTTGGTGATTAATTTCTGATGGAAGAATGAAAAAATTTTATAAGTTTATTGATGTTAATCTCACTTCACTTATCAGTGGGTCTATCACCCTGGAGAGACCAATCCAAACAGCCTCAGTTAGAGAACCTGCTCCATGCTCTAAAATGCTCGGAAGCTTCAGGTTTCAAGTAATTTCCACGTAAAATTATCAAAATCTCTGAGAGTATTTGAAAATATATAATTGTAAGTTTTAATCTGAAAACTTCAAATTTCAGAATTTCCCATGAGTCAGGGTCGTCTTCAAAACTATTTTTTCCACGATCGTATGACTTCACTATAAGCGTTTTCCTACAGTTTTCACAGAGAAATTGCTAATGTTGAAGGAAGGGTCTGCCGGATGAATGTGTTTACCATCGTATATGTTCAGTTGAAATCAAAATGTTGCTTTGAGACCAATTCAGTGAACAGGTAGAAGGAAGCATTCGAAATTTAAATATGTGATTAGACGATCTTTGTTTTTAAACATTTTTCCAAATATTTGTCTTTTCGCTTAGACAAAAATGTTTCTTTCATATTCAACATCGTCCAGTTGACGATTAAGCGAACGACCGTCTGATTTGTTGCTCCAGAAAAACGTATCAAGTTACAGTTGACCTGTTGAAGTTTCATTCAAAAACTTATTTGTTCAGCTCAAATTCTCTTATTTGAAAGGCTTTAATGATGGAATGCTACTTCTCCTCTCAACACATTAACGTTTCAAGTGTGAAGCGGAGCAGTCCATTATTCACATATTCAAACTGTTCCTTCTTTAATTGCTATTTAAGGAGAGCTAACAGTCTCTCCAACTCTTTTTGAACACGATGTTCGTCGCTTTAGCGTTCGTTTTCCTTCTACCATTGGTTCACTCTCAGTATGAAAGTAAGTTCTACATCTTCTCATCAACTACGTTTTCGCTTGGCAATTCACAGCTCGATAAGTTATTTCTGTTTGTGGTTAATAGCTCAGCTGTGCTTTCTTCCTTTTCCTCATAGGTTTACCACGTGTTATTCTCTGTTTTCCAGTTCCCATGTTTGGAGTCTGCAACAACAACGAACGTTGTGAAGGCACGTTTGTTTGTAAACACCACATTTGTTTGCCATCTGAAGATCCTACGCCAGTCATTTTGGAATATGCAAATGATGTTCCAGCTTCTTCCAAAGCAAATCAGAAAGTTAATTTCATTCCACATTCCCAAACCTCTGCAAATGCGAACACGCCACAGCTGAATATTCATGCACCGAAACATGCTCAAGCTATTGCTCAAGCCCAAGCTCAAGCTTTAGCTGAAGCTCAGCTAATATGGCAAAAAATCATGATGTCAACTACGAAATCCGTTCAAACACTCCCAACTACAAAGAAGCCACCAACCAAATCTCCATCATCCTCTAGCAATATAAGAATATTACCAAAGGTGTCCCAGATAAGTGTACAAGTAGCTCATCCAGTTTCCCGCATTGTAATATCATGTCAGCCAAATTGCATTGGTACTGCCAGGTTTGTGATTAACTCAACGAAGTAATATCTTATCTCAAACTATCCTAGCTGTGTAAGAGGTTCATGCAAGTGTAATCAGCCGGGAGTAATTTATACTCCTTTGTATGGATGCAACTTTGTAAGCTCGAGACCCATGATGGCTGTCCCCATTCCACCAGTTCAACGAGTACCTCAAGTAATTTGAACTGAAATTATACAAATAATCTCATGGTGTCTAGGCAAAACCTTTTCAAGCTTGTGAAGCTGTCACCGAATGTACTGGAGGTTCTGTTTGCATACGAGGAACATGTCTTTGTCCACCAGACTTAGCACCTCAAGGCGAAGTTTGTGTTACTCGAAGAGAGTTAGGTCTGCTAGCCTTGTAGAAATCACATAATAATCATTTCTCAATTGAGAGCAATGTAATTGTAATTTTTATAAAATTATAAAATATTTATTATTTAAGTGAAAACTATAAATCACAATGTTAAAAACCCAATATAATGAAGGCACATGCATTACCCGAACATATTCTTGTCATGAACATTACTAAAAGAAACATTGTGACACTTCAATTGGAATAATATATTATATATATAGAAATAGAAATCTTTAAACATTCAATGTTAACTTTTTTTTTCGTTTAAAATTCAAAATCCCTGAATTTATCCAGTGCCTTTCGTTCTTCTTCAGTTAATCGATGGTTATGAATACCTTTTCCAAATAATATAAATTCGTACGGTCTATAAGATATTCAGTTATATTATATTTATATATTATACGCCCATGGACGAAATAGTTTGGTACCATTCCCAAGGCATAGGGTGCCAAACTATTTCGTCCACGACTGCATACACAGTTGCGGACAAAATAGTTTGGCACCCTGTCCCATGAAAGGTGGCGGGGGTCTGCCTATCTATTATGTCCTCTAGCGTATATACTTACTTATAAGGTAAGAGTTCCAAAGAGCTAGCAGTATTTAATGATAAAACAGTATTAAGAACTGGTTCGGACTGAAATGATGTTCGATTGATGGGAGGGGTGAAGAAGCAATCATACCTGTGTCAGTTTTCCAGCTTCAATTAGAATCGTATGAATAAATAATTTATTTCCAAGTATGGTATGTAAAAATAAACGATCACCTCTAGACGTACTACTTATACGGGTTCGTGTAACTGAACATCTCATTAGTATTAGAAGATGATAGTCGTGATTACCTGTTAGCGTCACCCCTTCTGTGGATATGGCTGGGATAGCACCGCATTTTTCGATCTTTCCAGTTCCTTTGCCACGTTCTTCGTAAACTTCGATAGAATTGTCTTTATAAGCAATCAGAAGATAACAAGATCTTCCTTCAACCCTTTCCATTGTAACAATTGAAATGTCTCCCTAGAAGTATAACTTCATACCTTCTATTGTTTAATCAATTATTACCATTTTCATCAATTCCATTCTCTCACTCTTCATCTTCTTCTGTTGGTGACGATCAAGATCATTCCATATTTGGAGCTTCTTGGAATTGCTAACATAGCATCCCATTGGTCGTCCATGGAAGCAAATCATCTAGAAGCACAGAACGTCCTTCTCTACATTCATCTTCATAAACAAACCGTATTGACGTGATGAAGAGGTTCGATCTGTGCTATAAACTTCTCGCTAACTTCAAACTCATGCTCTCCCGATAAAATCGCAACATAGGTTCTGAAGATATTGAGGATGATAATAGCTGATGTTAAGAATAGAGTATTTGAGCTCAATTTTCTTCAAGCCGAATTTGCCAATCGTCTTGGTGTAAGCAAACAGTTCAGAGTGTAAAGCTCTTGAGAGGTTGAAACGGCAGCTTCGTAACAGGGATACTAGCCAACTCTTCAAAGTTTGAATTTCCACGTGAGTACGTCGAATCTCCCTATGTCGTACACGTTTTCATTTTCTCATTATGCAGTTAAAGAGAATGGTTGCTCATGTTTGTTACTTTGGTACTTTCATCAGTTAGGAAATTGATGATTCCATTTCATTTCTGATATATCATGTTAAACACTTGCCTGATTGCTTTGTCCGCATATGCTATGGCATATCTCAGTTTGCATGGAATTGGGCGGAACTCCATTGATGGGTCTAATGAAACATGCAGAACTTCTATAGCAGTTCCATCCTCAGTAACTCGTGACTCGCCGAGATCATGGAGACCAACCATATTATCTGAAAATATGATAGTGACGAAATTGTTCATCATCTACGTACCTTCTGTGTATTGCAAAGCTTTGATTCTCACGTAGGTTGTGCTGCCGACTACAACAAAAGCTCCTCGATTTTCAAGAGAAAATGGAGTTACAGCCAAGCAATGAGCACCACCAGTGTGACCAGTGATGCGATGCCACCGATCTAATAGAATATATCAATGTTTTTTATGAGAGAAATACCACATACCAACGTCTTTCTCAGAAATTGTAACCTCAGAGTTAGAAGCATGAATTGCTAGATGGGTTTCACCAGCAGCTAATATCTTCAGATCATTAATGACACCGTGTGAAAAATGGTGAGAGAGCATTGAACTGTAAAATCCCGAATCATTAGGAGAATTTTAAACATAATCATACCTTGCTATGATAACATGATCAAACTTGCGATTTGTGTCGAATGCCAAATGAAGCAAGCCTCCTGTGATACTTCCCAGAACCTGTTGAAGTAGGATGACTGTTGACACCGTCTAAGCTGACTCACCAGACCACTGTCTTCCATCAAGATGGAAGTGATGTTATCAAAAGGAGGAAGTGAAATTGGATTTCCAGCATCGAAGTAACGTTTATCCCTGAAAAGATATTTTGCTTAACAGTGATCAAACTATGAGGGAGTGAACGAAAGAAGGTCAGGTAAAGTAGAAAACACTTGTAAAAACTGAGAAAAACAGATTGTTAGAAGATGCATACAAATCAAAACATTTTTTAATTTTTTGAATCTCATATCTCAACGGACGAAATTGATAGTTTAGAAGAAAACGGAAAAGTTAGGGAAATGAAAAGTCACATGCACTCATATGGTTTACCTGGCATGAGACATAGGTTTGCCTCTTTGTCTAAAAAATAATTGAAAAATAAACAATTTTAAGAATCTTTTGATTTTTAATGTTTTAAAAACATTTTCATTTGTTTTCATGTATGTTTTACCTGTTGAAGTAGATCGGGAAGACTCCTTTATCATCCGCAACATAAACACCCTCAAGTGGGGTCATCAGACATGCAGAAGTGAGAGTTGTCTCATAAGACGGATCAAGACTAATAGAAGCAACTCTAAAACAATTTCTTTCATACTTAACATCAGTTTTTGGTTACCTTATCCCTTTTCTAGGATATACGGCCAGAGTACTCAAACCAGACATACAGTACAAGGTTAAATCTCTAGCACTATGATCTAGTAAGAAATGGGTGAAACGATCCTGAAGCAGCAAAATAGATGATCATATTCAGATGTTGATAAATACCGTTCGATCTGTTCGGAACTCATAGATACTATGACAGAGGATAGTTCGCATATCCTTTGGAGGATCTAATTTGCCTGTCAAAGACTCGATGATCTCAGAAATCTATAACCGTAAGAGGATATAATGAAACAATCGTAACGACAAAACCTTCTTATCCCAATCACCAATTAGATTACTAACATCATCCATGTTTGTTTTCATCATCAATTCCTCTACGCGCCATTTCCTGAGTAGTAGTGAATTAGATTGTTCGATAGGTTTAGATAGATTTACTTCTCTTCTAGGACTCCTCTGCTTTTGTTTATCAAAGCTTCATTCCCAGTTGCTACACACTCATCATATATTCTTGAAACGTTCGCTAACTCCGATAGTTCCTTAAACAGTTTGTATTACTTGATTATCGTGAAAGATGATTGTTTACTTCTTCTAAGCCTTGTATCGTCTTGTCCAAATGCTCTGAATAGTTAGTAGCTTTGAATAGTAAAGCCATTAGCTTCCTCAGTGACACCAAACGATGGGAAATTCTATCAGTTCGAATCTGAAGAATCATTCATATTCATATTGCTCATATTCATTATCATACAGATTGATTCTTGAATGCCATTTTGAGTTCAACAAATTCAACGTGAGCATCATTGCTGTCTTCGTCTGACGCGGTGCTTCCATTAGAGTCAGGTGTTTTAGTTGGACTTGGCATCTGAATATCGATGAAGAAAGATAAGCTGTCCTTTTAGCTTTAGATAGAACCTTCGATTGTAGAGCTTTGATCCTCTCAAACATTTCAATTCTCTTCTCTCGTTGATTCTCTTCGAAATTTGTAAGACGTTCGACCTCGACGCACAGCGTCTCCATCAAAGAACTTAAGTTGTTACGGCAGCTTGATAATCTCTGTACAAGGATAATTGGATGATTGTCTGCAAAATTCAAGAGATACCTTAACCAGAAGCATGTCGTCATAATCTTCATTAACAATTCCAATGCGAATATAACCATCATAATAGGCTATGTGTAGCAAACCACTATCACGCCAAAGAAGACCAGATTGGATCGGACGTCTGCAAATGAAACAATGAAAAGACAATTTCAAAATGTTTAAATCTTACGTGCATTTGAAGCAAAGAAGACAAGCGTAGTGAGAACCTTCGTCTAAGCTCAAAGAATAATGATAAACACCCGTTTCCAGCAAAAAGGTCAGAAGAAGCTGAATAAGAAAGATTGTGCGAAAGATATGACGATATGTGACAAACCTCTGTTTTACCCAATTTCTCAACATTGACAGCAACAATGACTGAAGGTAGTTCTAAGATTCTCTCCTTTGCTACGACAGTCCCTTCGAACAATTCATTACTGTGGATGAGAATGGCATGTCGTTGTCCATAAACAAATACATGATCTGTCAATTATAGTATTTATATTCCATTAGCACCTTTATGTTCTTACCGCTGTTAGTAGGTTGAATTATTCCTTGGACCGTATCTAAGCCGCCGAACAATCCGATGTGGGTGACTCGCACAGGTAGGCCCGTGTTCTGTGATCGTTCTAACTCAAGAGGATGAATCACTTCAATATCTCCGCCACTGCCTTGATAATAATAAAAAAATATTTACATTTACTTCTATCTAATATACCAGAAAGCAATCGTTCATCTTTAATTCTGAGAAGTGCATGACGAGGTTTGTTACTGGGATGCTGAATACTATAACCGGGCAACAATGCTCGATATTGAGCAACAGTTGGTCCCTCATGCATGGCACAATCACCCTTAAACAATAAATACATGAAAAGATAAATAATGTGAGAAGGATTAAGAAATGAAAAAGTACTGAAATGAATCAGAAGAAGAATATCCGAACGATTCACATGAATGACAAGACAGTTTCAGACAATTGTCATAATAAATTAGACATTGATGGTCAGTCAAGTGTATCAGCTGTCTTTTAGATAACATCAGATATGAGAAGAGTTAGATGATCACATATATTTTGTTAATATTTTATACATTTATAAAGTTATTATAATAATAATGATAATGAAAGAGTAAGAAGAAGTGTGAATAACAACAACTCAGCACACACGTAGACAATCGGCCTTAACACCACCACCCAACAGTTCCATGTTGTAAACACGATTCTGCTGACATCAATTAAGGATCGAAGGATTAACACAAGTGAGTGATGTAATCAAATGAAATTCTTTTTTAACAATTATTCTCTCGAAAATAATAAGTTAGAACATGTTTGAAAACGTAATGAACAACAAACAAAACAAAAAAATAGAAAATTAGAAAACAACGCATCAAACAGAAAAAAAAACAAAATGTCACCAGAGCTCAGCAGTGTGTTGGAAAATAAAAATCTGAGATGATGGTTAGAGAAGAATGACGATAAAGACCATTAAACAGATTGTTTGAACAGCTCTTCATGGGTCCTTTTCGTTGCCATACAAAATTTGGAAAAGTTTGACCCTTCATTCTTTTTTTTTATTTTGTTTTTTTTATATTCTCACGTACTTCCGAGAGGTTGATCATTCCTCTTTGAAGTAAGTCAAGTACAGACAAATACTTAATGGTTGAAGCAAGCAATATAGAGAGATTAAAGACATTCTGATCGTTATCTGCTGAGGATAGCAATCTGATTATCTTGACACAAAAAAAAAATTTGAGAGCCGAGTACTGTTTCAGTAAATATGCACGCAACGGCACTGTTATCAGCGTCAGCTAGAAGAGTCATTTTCACTCAGGCTGTCGCACGCAACGGTTGGCTATGAACGTGAAGAAGGTAAGCTGTCATTCATTCTTCTGTTTATTCATCTTCAATAGAATATGATAAATGGATTTTAATGGGAACAAAAAAAAATATGTGTATATATAAATATCATTTGAATAGTGTTGTAAACGATCAGAAAGATAGCAAATGTATATTCGGTGAGGGGGATTGTTTGCACTTACTATGAAGTGAGTTGTTTCCTATTGGATTCATATTAGATCTAAGGCTGTGCACGATTTAGAAAATATAATGACAACGGCTGAACAAGCTACTAAATGGAAGAATAATATCAAAATATGTAAAATTGTGTTCACAGGTTCGTATAATAAATACAGAACTAATAATCTGTGTGCAGCGAATGAAAAGAAGCAAGATGAGAAGAACGACAAAGTATTCGAAGAGTGCGAAGTATTCAAATAAGGGTCTACATCAGTAGCTACATGATGCTTTGTGAACTTTGCGACATTCAAAGTTGTCTTGAGATCAATACAAGACGAATCAGCCAATGATCAATATTCGGCGAAAAATCTTTTAATCAAGCTGTATGTTCTTCAGGTAGCGGAAGAAGTTCGTAAACGAATGCAACAGTGTTTTTAGATAGTTTTGTAAAACAAGATAAGATGAAGCTGTTAACGAACAAGAAACGAAAGAAGCCGACAGCAAACACAATACCGAGACTTCTAAAAGTATATACACATTGGACATTCTGACGTTGACAATATTACTACCACCCCCATGTTCTAAGTGGCCAACACCTCATTACTTTTCGTCAATCATTGCCAGATCGTCAGTGATTTTTCTTCAATTTTTCATCGAAAAGAAAGGTCCTTTGTTATTTCTCTTGTTTCTTCCTAACAATTATTTTGAGTAAGGCGGAGATGATGTGATAGAAAATTGGGTTTTGATTAGAACAGTTGTTAAATCCGCGATGTTCAAGCGAAATCGGATCGTGTATTGAAAGGCTTGTCAAAACGATTATCTTTTCATCAGTAATTGGAGAGAAACGAACAAAAAAAAAGCTAAATTCATGAAATTATCTATGCTGTATTAGCTGATATCCGACAATGAATAAGCATCTACGAAGGTTTTTGAATATCCACTAGGGAATGACAATGGCACGTGGCAATTGCAACTGTTTCATGTGTGTGGGGGAGAAAGAGTGATTAGCAAGCAACCTGTTGCAGAGGATATGCAATAAAAGTCGGATTATGAAGAATTAGTATGTCAGAATTGAAAACATCAACTTCAGAAATTAATGAATGTAAAGTGTGACTTTGGATATTCCAGATGATGATCTCTCTGGATGCTGTCTTGAAAGGTTTTTCTGAGGTTTACGATGTGTGGTGGATCTCGATCGTTCTCTCATTGCCTCTTGCTCTCTGCTTGTCCCTTGGTCTTAATGTGTATTGACATTTCACATGGCCGTTATTCAGAATTGCGTTTGTAATTCAAACAAATGATAAATCAATGCTTAGTTCTCATGTAACTACAGGAAAAGTGAGTGAAGATAGTTCAAGGACCGCTGGCTATGAAAATTTTTAAATTAACAAATGGAAAAACGGAAACAAAGTGGAACTGTGGGAAAATGAGTAGGACAATGTTCATAAATACCTATTTGTAACGGAACATGGGCAGTTCCATTGGTCGAAGAAGAATTTGAAGGACAAAACAGTCAGACCAATCAATTGATAAGGTTTGAGATGCGAAGTTGTGGTGCGTATCAGCCGTTTTTCATTTCTTAATTTTGTACGAAAATGTGTAGCAGGTAACGCAATCGCAATCCTTCGATGTGTCTGTAATACTTCCATATTTGGCTGATCAACAAGAGGTGTTGCTGGCACAAGAGGTACGGAGGAAGGGTGAATGATAAAAGTAACTTATCACTATGAGAGCAAGTGTTACAGATGACGTTTGATCAGATATGCAACTAAGGTTTGGACGGATGTTCTCAAAGAGATCCCAGGATAATCATAAATCATTGATGTAATATAAGAGGAGGAAATCAGAACAAGTGTTGAAAATCAACTTTCACATAATTCGAATCAACTGTTTAAGGTTTAAACTCAACTACACCTAATACAATTAGGCTGGAATAACACATTGGAAAAGGTTGAGGAAAACTTTTCGTACTTACAGACTAGTCTGGTGCCATGAGGAAACAAAAAACGTTACAGATTATTAAACAAAAGCACCGGAAACAATAACAAACAACAAAAATTGTGAACTTCACGTTATATTAGGAAACAAAAAATAATTTCTTCGAGAGGATAGGACGAACACTAATTGTACAGATTCTATCAGGACTATAATGGGAATTTCAAACGAATCATGAAAAACCAAATATCCGAGATGATACAGGTAACAACGATATAGGTGTATATAAAACTTATCAAGAATTATAGCCTAGAATGGAACAGGAATGAAGCTTTGAATTTTAAAACATTGTTGAGGTATCAACCTCCACTCAGTGGCGGAATGACAGCTACTTCACTAGATGGGGTCAGATGAACTTCATCATCGCAATCGGCATATCTAAAAAACACGTCGTATCTGGATGAAACTGCAACGGTTAGCTCACCTCTGATCTACCGCCAAAATACAAGACCTTTCGATTGATCGCAACGCTGGGAATAGCTGAAAATGTAAGATTGCAAGTTGTATATCATTTCGATCTCAGACCTCATTAAAGAAAAGTGATTTGAGTTCTGTGTATCTGATAACGCTACTCAAGACTACCTAAAACTTGAGGAATATTGAAAGAGAATATAGAATTGTCACTTTTGTTTCCTCACAGTCAACTAGTTCTCTTGCTTTCCCGAAAAATAGAATTCGAACCTCAACATGTGTAGAGTCTAACGACAACATCCTGGTTTTGATAGCAAATGAAATTCTTCAACTTTGAGCTTGCGACAAGTAATACAGCAAATGATGAAGACAAGTAACATCAATAGTATAGAAGAAAGCATCTTTTATTAAACGTATAAAGATACATGGAGATCAATGGAAAAAATAAATTATAGAATATACCAGAATGTATAGTACACGTCATCATCGGGTTTCTAAGTGCACTGGTTATGCTTCGTTATGAAATTGGAAATTTAAATAATTGTGTTACGCTTGGCTGTGATCATGGTGGCGAGAATGGGATCAGTTTTAACAATATCTTCAATATCTTGGCGTAAGGCATTTTTTTGTAGCCCACAAATCAGTCCGTTGCCTTCGAACTTGGTAAGTAATTCTTTCAGCTTAATTGTTGATTCTGAAACTCCTAATTGCGTTTTTCATAAATACAAAATACTCACTGTCTTTTATGAGCTGCTGAGCATAGGTCATTAACAGTCGTCTATAATCCGTGGAGCAGCCTGTGATGAGTGCAGAAGCTAACCAAGACTCTAACTGATTTTCTGTGACGCTGGAGCGAACACCGGCTGGAACTTTCAGAGCAGGAACACCTCTGAATATTATAAATAGAGTCATATCAGATAAACTTCGCAAACCTCTTTCGCTTTTTTAGAATTTTCCCTAATTGCCCATCACCTAGTTCATAAGGTTCGATTGAGTCACAGAGCCTCAACACCGAAGATGATGAGTCGACCAAATGCCAACATTGCATGTCTGTGGAGAAAGTGAATAAATTTCCCGTTGAAAACCCTATCAGAGGCATTCCTAGTGGTGAGAGGGATATAGATGTGAGGTTTGCATCTAGAGAGTTTGTATATTTCAAGACCAATTTTCCAAAAACTGAGACTAACCTTTTGAGACACAATCGGAGATGGGTTGTCGGGATAGTAAAGCTTTGCATTTTTCCACATCCCTATAGGTACGTTTTCACAGAAACATTGTTTAATGTAGTTTACCAAGAACTGAATCTTCCAGTTTGCGTGAGAGCAAACATTTTGTTTCCATTTAACCCAACACGGACAGGGACTGAATCTAGTTGGAGACAACTTTGTAATCTTCCACTAGTGCTTGCATATACACGTACAGTTCGATCAAAACACCCCACGACTGTCCAGAGTCTTAAAGCTCCTTCAATATCTCTACTTGAAAAACTCACATACCGATTAGCCGCAACGATAGCTACAGGTGGACCAACAAAAGCTGACCAAACATGCTCTTTCTTTTTAGTATACGTTAGTTTACTTGTTGTCGTACCAGTACAAGCCCACTCATTCTGAATATCAACTGTGTCTCCAATCAGCTGAAAGAAAGATTTTGTTTAAAGTCAAAGTCGCATATGCTTACTCCTATGACCGTTTCAGTCAGGGTGGACTTCTGTTCAGGTGTGTCCAAAACAGTATTAGCATCCGATACAGCAATATGGGTGTTATCAACAAGTCTCAATGATGGTTTCTGAATGGAATAATCAAAATCCTAATTTAAAAAATGATGCCTACTTTGAAATCAGCTCTCATCATTTGTTCGGCGGGTCCTTTACTTGAAGGTTGAGCAGACGCATCTTTAGCAGACTCATCATCAGACATGGTAATATCTGCACAGTCATCACTACTGTCATCGGCAGTTGAATCATCAGTAGTTAGTTCTAATCTAGTTTTCTTAGGTGGAGGACTTTGTTTTCTATAACAAAACTTTCAATAATTATATGATAAAAGCTCAAGCACCCTGCAACAACCTTCCCTGTTGTAACCACATTTTCTTCGCTGAAAAAAAAAAGTTCAAGTGAATAGGGAAGAAGGCTCACGTTGTAGGCTCGCTATTAGAAGAAGCTTGAACAGTTGTAGTAGTCGTAGTAGTAGTACTAGTAGCAGGAACGGATGTAGCAGGGGGTTCATCATCAACTGTAGATGCCAAGAAAATGGGTTGTATTCGTCGTTTTCCATCGTTAGTTCTCGTCTAAATCATAGTGGATACTTGAAGAGAAACAGGGCAAAGTACCTCGACTTGTTCTTTTCTCTTCTCTAGAAGCTCTTCTGTCTTCCTTTTTTGAATTGCATCAATTTTTTCCATGAATGAGGATTTCGTTGAATCAACATCCATCGTGGCTTCTTCGGCCTACACAAGACAAGTTATGATAGTCAGCATACCAAGGAAACGTACCTTTCTTTTTGCAACAAGCTGCTCAGCAGTGTCGATAAAAGTACTATTCAACTTTCCAGGAGTTGCACAATTCAGATCCTGTTCACAGAATTGAGGAGGTTTGCTCTTGTAAAGCAGTTCACACTCTGTTCCCATTTGTTCGATACTAGCCAAGTCTCCTAGTTCTTTGACACTGAACACGAAATACTTCACAGAACCATCCTTAAACAAAACCGATTAAGAAAAACATACAAAACTACGGATACCTGAGAACAAACAACCAAATCTAACCCTTTCCAAGTAATGTCCATTATGGAATGTTTGAATATACGAGTCATAACAATAACTGGTCTTTTGACTAAAGGAAAAACCCATACAGAGAGTGACTTATCACGTGAACCCACAGCTAACAAAGAAACCTGCAAAGAGATTATCAATCTTGTCACCATCATAACGGGAACGAACCTGCATTTTTTTACCGGAATAATCGACATAATGTAATAAACGTTTTGACACTTTAACAACAGTAACAGCCTAAAGGAACATTTTAGCTTAGAGAGATCCTTAATACTACTTTTCTGTGGCCAACTAAATCCATAGAAGAATCCCAATCTTTTCGGCGAATAATTTGGCATACAGGACCCTAATTCAGCTTTATATAACTAGTGAAAGATACAAACTGACTTGATTATTCATAGCACATGGTGCAAACAAGAACTGTCCGTCTGCAGCCCATCCCAATCTACTGAACATAGTAGTTTGACCACTCTGCAATTACAAATTTGTATTTCGTTGAAAAGCCTCATAATTTACCTCAACGAATGGTTCACTAACAGTTTTTTCACATTGCCAATTATCTGTTTTCCAGCATTTCACAGTCTGAAGTGAACAAGATAACAACGAATCACTTCATAGACTTACCTTGTCAGCAGACTGAGTTGCAATATATTTTCCTATCGGATCCCAACTAATACCTTTCACGGGCGCGGTGTGACCGTCTCGTTTATGATCCAGTACAATAACTTTCTCTGTTAATGAGGAGGGTATAACGTAAATGAAGTGCTCACATACCAGGTAAACGCTTAGCGTTCCAAATAATTACTGTATTGTCCATGGATCCAGATGCCAAAAATCTTCCATCGTCCGACCATTCCACGGAGAGGACCTTCAATTATCAAATTTCTAAGTTTAGTTGAAGCGTTTCTCACTTCCATTGTATGCATATGCATATTGTGCACAATCCTATACTTTTCTACTGCTAGAATTTCTTTACTACCAATCGTGCCCGAGGATTTGACACGACCGCCTTAATAAATCATTTAATTTTTAAATCATGATTATCATTCACCATATTCATAGACTGTAACAACTTTATCGTCTGAAGCAGCAGCTAACAGGGTTCCATCAGTACTCCATCTTACGCAGTTTACTCCGGCTTGGTGCTGAATTCTTGCTAAAATCTTGGGAATGTTTTTGTCTCGATCTTCATTTAGGATGGGTATGCTGTTCCAAACAACGATTAATCCGTTCCCCCCTATCTGCAATGAGTTAAAGATAAATGTGATACCACTAAAGGCAACTAACGTCCCCTTGTCCACAAGTAACTATCTTATCTGCATAAGGATGAACATCCAAAGAGTATATAGCTCCACCTAAAAGATATATATTAACTGTTTCAAACACTTTTACTGAGCGGATGTATGGCTAAGTGAAATTGAACGTACCATCATGGCTTACCCATGGTGGGTTGATCAGTTTCATTCTTATCTATCTTTATATCAAAAATGGCCTATTGTGGAATCTTTCCCTGAAATATATGGTTTTAGCTTCTCAAAAAAGTCTTATATTAACTGAAATCTGAAAGATAGTTTCAGAGAATTTGAAAGACAAATTCAGGTGTGAACGTCTTTTTGCGTACGCATTTTCTCTATTAAAATAAAACTGGGAAGCAGCATACTAATATATTGCTTAATCGTATTCATACTCATACTTTGAATTATTAATTTCTTTCTTAAAGATGATATTACTTGAGAATGTTGTTTAGAATGTCGGGAGGTATCCGATTTGTTGGAAATTTTGATATAGCTAGTGAAGGTAAGTTTCTCTGGGAAGTACTATGCCAACTGAGAAAAGTAAGTAATTCAATTTTTTACCTTCCTATTTGCTCTGTAATTAAGTTTGGTGTTGGTAGAATTGTAACTAAGAATGAATGGGCGAGGAAATGGCCTGGACAACCTTCGTACATGAAAGTAGTCAAGGTACTGTTTCTGGAATGTAATTTTGGATTAGATTACTTCCATCTTAGGTGCAACCAACGATGGATAGATGGTTGTTCGGCGGAAAAGTTTGGGCTGAATGGGTGTACAGAGGACAGAACTTGGGTATTTATGAGTTTTCCAAAGATCTCAACAGAAGCGATTGGCGATTAATCCATAAGTGAGTTTAACCACGCTTGTTTTGTTGAATATGAATTGATGAAACTGAAAGAAATCAAGAACATTCAAAGTTGAAGAAACGGCGGATGCAACCGCGCAAACAATGCTCTGCTATTAAATGAAAAACAACAAATCCACGCTGAACATTATGCTAATTTTTTTGAAAATTGATTGTTCAATGCCGCAAGTCAACTTGGCTAACAAACGTTTTTTTTTCAGACACGAGGAGGAGACGTTCGCTAAAAGTAAAACTCCCATGAAAGAAGTTGTTTTCCCTGATAGCATGCCTATTCCACCATTACAAGTTAGCTTTCTCTCCACCTATCAAGTACAAATATATTTTTAGGTACATTTTATGAAAATGAATGCTTTAAAAAATAAAGAATCAGTTGAAAACGTCCCTCTTCGAACATCTTTGAGTCTCTGTGTTGACCCCGAACTTGAAATGGCAAAGAAGTTTTTCGTACAGGTGATTGTTCACGAATGTATCAGATAAACATAATGTTAATCTTCAGAAGCCTGTGGCTAACCCGGGTAAATCAGTATATGAGGAAGCTGATAAATCATCTTTATTAGATTTATATGGAAGTGAGATCCCTGTGAAGGCAAGCGCTTGTTTATTCTTATATTATGTGTTTGTGTCATTGCAGGTTGAATCATGGAATGTCGGACCTGCTAAGTTCACTCCTAAGTTCTCAAATGTAGATATGAAAGTCAAAGAGCAGAGCAGCACGTAGCTTTTCAAATATTAAATAATACACAATCGTCTTACAACTCTTTTTAGATTAGTGAAATAGTTTGTTAATAGTTTACGTAATTGTTATTTGTTTTTGCTGATGGAAGATAATCTTCGGATAAATATTCTTTCGATTTCAGAATTTTCACTCGCTCTGACCCCGTAATCTACTATCTCTGTTCCAGATCCAAATCTTGAACAGTTTTCCTCAAACTAGTAGAATGTTGAAAGTATCTGCACAATTGTAGCTTCAACTAACCCATCTCTGAGGTTTTTCCATCTTGGAGTTAAGAAGAAACAGAAAATGTTATTATATACAACGGTTGACAGGTTTTGGATTATCGTTGCACTCAGCTCACACTATATTGAAGCTCGGAAGCTCTCGCTTTTCGACAAGTTGGTGACCATATAGTTGAAATGGTTTTTTGGTTCAGCTTGATCGCAACTAGTATCGGAATTTCGGTGAAATAACTAGATTCTCATATCATTATAGCTAACCCAACATCTGCTTCTGCTGGTTTCTTCCTCACTCTGATTGTAATAGAAGCCTATAGTCTTCTTTTGTCTGAGTTTTATTCCATTAATCCAGTATTTTTTCTGAAAAATGTTGGCAAATAGTTCGAAAGTTAAACCACCCAACCAATTAGTGTCTGATACTTTATCGAGGTTTCAAGTGCATTATTCTCTTTTTCCCGACGTCATTACTCATAACTCCTTCTATTATACGTGCCTCGTCGAAATCTTCTGGATGACCTTCAGACATAAGACGGTGCCCTCCGAGACCTGCACTCCGGCCTTCCAACCGCAAATTACCACAGAAACGCATACAGATGACGTTTACTCTCATCCAGTCCACAGTTGAAGATGTCAAAACCCACATTTTACCAGTAGTTCACTATCTACTCTCATAACAGTTCCAGTTCTTTCGTTTATCATTAGCTATCAATGCTAGCATTTTCTCATCTCATGAAAATCTTTTTTTCCAAATACATGTTAGCCGTTGAACAACGTCATCGATTTCGTTCTGATTCATCTACCTGATTAGCATCGGATAAAGCAAGATCTTTGTCATTCTAACTATGTCGTCTCCAAGTTTTTCTTCGAAAGTCTGGATCAAGGAAAGTTACGCTGCTTCCTTTGTTGCTGTTTGAGTTCTAATCTATTCGGTTTATACTGTCTATGAAATCATAGATGTCTCCCAATTAAACAATTTTCACTCATCGTCACACATGGACGTACATCTTTCTTTGATTTTTGTTTACGAATTCTCGTTGTTAACCTTTTAGGAGCGCAACAGTTTGTTGACCGAAATTCAGACCATCTATCGCAACTCAAAATCTTAGGTCGATCTCCTGATCTATACGGCTATCTACCTGTCTACTTCTAAATTCACTATTTCGGGTTTTCCCTGATGGGATGAGCTTTCATATTTTTTCTTTTATTGTTCTTCTTGTCTTTCGGGTCTATCTCCTCCACGAAATTTCATCTCTAGAGATTAGACTTCATGAGTCAAAAGTCTTATTGTTTTATTCATTTGCTTCTCTAGTGTTGCCTCATTTTGATCTTTTATAGGATGGCTGTCATTCCAGCGTCATTGCCAGCGTCGAAGATAGAAAAAGAGACCATAAGGGAACTGCGTGAAAAGTTAAAATCATTTTTAATACTTGATAAATAACTTCAACTTGCAGGCTCATTGAGGTTTTAGCAGATGGCATTCCCGAGGATTTAGATACAGAGCTGAATTTGCTTCGATGGATCCGAGGAAATCAGTCAGATATCGGAAGAATATTAGAGGTCATAAATCTTCCTTTACTGTTGTACATCATGAGTAATTTTTAGATTTTCCCCACCTATGTGGCTTCCCGACAGGCGGCAGGTTTTACAGGAAAGAATCTCGAGGAACGGTAGAAAGCATTTATAGTGTCCTAGATCATCTGGGATTTTAAGATATTTCGAGATGCCTCATGTGAAGCCATTCTTGAAATACATCGCATCTTCTCGGTTGTCTGATTCACAATGGTCCGAGGAACACAATGCATTTCTTTTTGTGGAAAGAGCCTGGTCACAACCTCGAGAAGTAATCTCTAACATTAGTATCGTTTGACAAACTCTTACAGTTCATAAAAACTTTCAAAGTCTCCGACTATCAGATGCACTGTTTTGGATATTCTGAGTTTTTGCTACAACTCATTCTAGAGTAATAATTAAAAAGTAGATATTGGATTAGATGTTAACTTCAGACGAGAGAAAAACCAATCGCCAGATAAAGGCCCCGTGCAGTTCATCGTTATCTTCGATTTGATGACTGTGAACATAACTGATTATGTAAATCCCATGAGTGGTTACATGAAGATGTGGCAACTTCGATCTGACCTTTGGCAAGATTGGTAGGTTTTGTGAATGTGTCATGAAAAAACCATCCGTTTTGAGGTTTCCTGATATGGTTCAAGGCATTTATCTTGTTAATCCACCGCGCTTGGTGAGCGTTCTTTGGAAAATTGCTCGTCTCTTCCTATCTGAACACAATTTGAAACGAATTGAAATCATATCCGACGAGAAAGAATTTACAAAACATCTTCCGAAATGGTTCATTCCGAAAGAATATGGAGGTCAGTTTTTCTTTATAATACCATGCGAACCTGCTCTCTTTTGAGGGGATTTCATAGCTCAAAGGCCACATGGCGACGAATCTGGCGTCAGTATTCGTCAGAAAATCACCTCTGCCGACTTTTATGTACCTTATCAACATTACAAGAACCATGGAGTAGAGAGACCAAAACACAATAGAAAAGTTACTTAATTATTCATGCCCAAATATTTTTGATTCATCTCAGGACATCAGCCCTGGAGAAGCGTTCATCATTCCAATAACCGTTCCTGAAGGTAAGAGTCTTCTTTGGGATTTCACTGTGAGCGGGGAGGTGGAATTTTTCATTTATCGGAACAAGGTAAATCATCTTCATACAGCAGGTTTAATGTTTCCCTCTTAGCAACAACACGATATGGTTTTCCCTCGATTCCGGTTAATAACTTCCAAATTGAACGAGGAAGGATCTCTGGACAATCTCCCCGATGCCGAATATTCATTATTTTTCCTAAACAAGAGCGGATATTTCACAGTTAAATTGGAATATTGCATAGTTGTAGCTTAAAATTGAAAACCCATCGGCGAAACATTATAAGCTAATAGAGTAACGGTTAATACTAAACATTGTACAATATCACTTTCGTACCCACCAAGAATACATATCATGAGTTGATGCGTACTTCCAACCTCACGTAATCACCATACATAAATATTGAAATTGTATCTAACTGTTCATTCATTCTTCCGTTCGCATCAAAATAGTAGCAGGTAGTTTATTAAAAGTGTATATGGAAATAGTAAATTGAGAACAAGCTTTTTGGAATTGAAAACGTTTCCATTTATGAAATATACCGTCGAGATATTCACCACAGGCAAATATCAATAACAATTATTTTTCTGTCGTTCACATGCTTGTTGGATACGTAGAGCTGGTGAGGTTTCGTCACTTACGACCTACGACACGTTGCAACGGCGTTTTATCTTTGAACTGATCATACTTACATACTTTATATAGTAGAATGCTTTCAAAACGAATATTTATGTTTGTGAATATTTTCTTTCAACAAAAAAGGAAATTTTCAGATGTCATTTTATGACAAACAAGGCTCAAGTGCCCAGATCAGTGACGGTAGACGGACGTGGGACGAGGTTCGATTTCAGTCCTAAATACTAATAAATGTAACAGCATTTTTAGGCAGAATATGAACGTAAAGCGAAAGAGCGTCTTGCTGAAGCTCAAACTGCTGATTCGAAAAAATTAGGACTTTTGAAAAAAGACGAGCCTCCTGTGAAGAAGAAGGGGCTTGAATACCGCGACTTTCAAGTAAGGAACCATCAGTTTCCATTGTGATTGAGCATTCTGTTTTAAGCTTGATTTGGATTCTAAAGTTGGTAAAGCTATTGTAATCAGTAAAACTACGCCGGCTGCTGAGTCGGGAGGATTTTACTGTGATATTTGTGATTGTGTCATCAAAGATTCTCTCAACTTTCTTGATCATATGAATGGCAAGATGCACATAAAGTAAGTGTATGCAATTTGTTCTCTTATGAATTCTCTTCAATTAGGAACCTGGGAATGAGCATGAAAGTCAAGAGAAGTACTCTGGAAGATGTACAAGATCGCTTTGCTTACAAGAAATGGGAAAGTAGGAATTGACTTTGTGCTCTGATTCAGTTAATTTTCTTTTATAGAAGAACAAGAGAGACGACAGAAAGAGAAGGAAGCGAACAGCGAGGATGTTGCTCTCGAACAGGCCAAGATAAACGATGCTAAGCTGGTAAATTATATTTTGATTGAGTATACTTATTATTAACAAATAACCAGAGCAAACAAGAACGAAAAAGAAAAAGAGAAAAAGAAGAAGAAGTGGAGGAAGAAACAGAGGGATTAGATCCCGACATTCAAGCTATGATGGGAATTTCAGGATTCGGAACTTCCAAGAAGAAATAACTTAATAATTATGCAATTTTTACTTATACTACAACTGTAACTGTCTCTGTAGTACATGTTTTGATCTCTTACATTCATTCTGTTCCTAACAGGTTGATGCCTGACATATTTGAAGACCATTGATGTGACCGTTAATCATTTTTTTTAGCTATGGGTAGAATTGAGCTGTTTCTTTTCCTTAGTTTAATTGGCTGCTTCTATGCAGCCCAGCCAACTGTGGATGAAAAGGTGAGGCTATCCTATCAGTATGTCGTATAAACTTGTAATTTGCCAGGTTTCTTACCTTCAAGATCTCATGTATCGTCAGCCAGTTATGCGTCTGAACTTGGATCGCTGGAGAACTTATGTACGTACCCAACCTAGAAATTATTCTATGATTGTCATGTTCACTGCTTTATCGCCAGGTGTTAATTGCCCAATTTGCAAGTGAGTGCAGACGCTTTTTCATTGAAATCAAACTTGATTAAGACCTGCCTATGATGAATTTGTTATCCTTGCTAACTCATACCGTCATCAACATATCGATGCTAAGAGTGTTTATTTCGGAGTTGTAGATTATGAAGAGGCACCTCAAATTTTCCAACAAGTAAGAATCTATCTATAAAAGTATTCTATTTTTTTATCAAACAGATGAATCTTAACACTGCTCCTATCTTGTATCATTTCGGTCCTAAGCTCCAAGGAAAGAAGAAGCCTGAAAAGATGGACTTCCAAAGACATGGATTTGATGCCGAGGCTTTGGCTCGTTTTGTTTCTGACAACACCGACATGAATGTTTGTTTTTGCGTTATTCCCTTCAATAACTGTTTTTTCTTCAGATCAGAATCACTCGTCCACCTAACTACACCTTCACCATTGTAGCCATTTTCCTAGTTGTTCTTCTCATAGGTCTCGTCTATCTCAAGAGAGACAGTTTGGAGTTCGCCCAGAATAAGACAACTTGGGGATTGATCTGTGTGGTAAAATAATTTATTTTTAACATTTTCACAATTGTTCTCATCTTCAGACTGTTGTGTTCATCTTCATGTCTGGACAAATGTGGAATCACATTAGAGGTCCACCATTCGTGATGACCAACCCTAATACCAAGGAGACTAGCTTCATTCATGGATCTACTCAATATCAACTCGTTTCCGAAACATACATTGTCGGAATCCTCTATGGAATTATTACATTTGGCTTTATTATGCTCAGCGATGCTATTGGATCGGAAGACAAAGTTGACAAGAAGAAACACAAGCCGCTCATCACCTTCCAAGGACATAGTAAGTCAACTGTTTAATGCTTTTCTCTATTGAACCGTTCAGCTATGGTCTACTTCGCCCTTGGATTGGTCGCGATCTTCTTCTCGTTGTTGATTTCAATCTTCCGCAGCAAGTACCGTGGATATCCTTACAGCTTCCTCTTTAGTTAAATTTGTTTTTCAAACTTTAATTTTGTTGTTGTAGTCGTCTTACTTATGTCGAACAGCTCCCTAAGTCGTATTTATCTTTATGGGTGTGATAATTTAATAAATTATTTGAACATGTCAATATATTATGGGAATTAGAAAATGAGAATAGAGATCATTGGTCCGACTCCAATAGCAGGAGGTATTCAAATATTTCTCGATCACAACAATCTATTGGTCTCTCGCCTTCCGCATTACGTGAATCCATCTTGGCTCCACGAGATAGTAGAAGATCTACTAAATCTTTTCTTCCGCACAATGTAGCTTAATAAGAATAGCGTAGGACTATTTTTTATGACATACCATAATGAAGAGGAGTGTTATTTTCTGCATCTTTTGAGTTCACATCAGCTCCCAAGTTTAACAATGTTATAACAGTGTCATGCCATCCGATATCTACAGCCCAATGAAGAGCGGTTATCTGCAAGTATAGAGTAGCTGTATAGAAACATATTTTCTTGGAGATTTTCACTTACGTTCATGTTGTGGTCCCTGAAGTTCAGAAGCTCTGGTTTTTTTGCAATCATTGGTTCCAAAGCTGATGAATTGTTAGCCTTCACTGCAGAAAACCAATTTTTGACATCAGTATCTTGGAACTCCCTTAACAAACATTGAATAAACAGAGAGTACTGAACTCTTACTCATCGTCAGTTTGCTCCTCGACCATGGCCATCCTACTTGGTTTATTGCCGAAGCCTTGTGTCTGAAGACTAGCATCGTTAGGATCGAACCCTGAAAATAACAGTGAGATACCTCCAACGAATATTATTTACCGAGGTCAAGATCGAGAAGCTTCCGAACATATGAATCCATAGCATCGATCATTTTCATGCCCCTTTTTTTAGCCCAAAGATCAAACTTAGCTCTGTTCTTGTAGTCCAAAAAGGAAGGCCGCTGAGAATCATCTGAAACTCCCATGGTCAAATGAATGCAGAAGAGTTTGAACACACCAGCATCGCCATTCGTGGCTTGTTTATAGAGAGCATAAAAATCATGCAGATCATTATTATGGATCTTCCCAACTACATGGGGTACGTATGTGGTAGCGGCATCGAACCGTTTCTTCGACACTTTGAATTCTTCACTGGTCTTAAATTGAAAAATATGATAAGTTTATCTATGCACATACTTCATCTTCTTTTGGTAGAGAACTTTTTGATGATCCGGCGGAAAACCAGGATTGGATTATTCTCGGAATGACAACGACAAACATTTTTTTAGCTAAATTGAATGAAAAAGATAAGAGCCAAGGATTATGGACGAATGACAAAAATTAAATCGCAAAGGACAATACGTCAAATGGATGAGAGAAGAATGTTCAGAAATCTTTATTGAGCTTGTTGCTTTACTGATTCGTATTTGGCTTGTGTGTAAGCTGCTATAGTAACAGCATGAATCTGAGGCATAATATCACTAATAGCTTCTTGAACAAGTCTGAGAATATATTTACTAATTACATCATACGCAATCCTTCACCACACCTATGAGTTTGAAGAGTTCTTTTGCCTTCGAAAGCTTCTGAGACTATGAGAATGCTAAATTTCGATCCACACCCATCGGACATATCTTGCACGTCCTATTATATAAACTTAATTTGAAATGAAAACGAGCAAAGCAAACCAAAATGGAAGGGTTCAAGCTTTGAAGTCTAGTCTTCAACTCTTCTATGGCTACCATTTCCCTATAAAAAGTATCACTTAAATGATTCTATTGGTTCAGTTGAGAGTCTCAAGATATTGGTTTGCACAAACAACTGTGTGGAAAACAAAAATGAGATAAAATATTTAATCTCAACATATTAATAACAAAACTGTAACGATAAGAATTCAATTTCAGGTTGAATCAAGTTCCTCAGCACAACCAAAGTTTTCGAATACATAACATAGTAATTCTAAAACCAGGACGACTTGCCAAGACTCAGACTATGGTCCTTTTCGAACTTCTCTGAAGCCATGAATCACAATATGATACTCTGTAATATGGGAAAGCGCATTGATTACTGAGTGGAACAACTGGATGATGCGCAACATGAGAGGAGCTACTACCAAAATTTATTTAATAAAACAAAACTAAAAACCAAATGGTTACACCTTTAACAAGAAACTTTCGCAAAAAGAAAGTGAATAAGATTTGATGTGAGAATTCAAAAACTTTGTGAGCAAAGCTTCGCTTTGAGGTCAGGAGAGGTGAAGGTGAGCAAGGAAATAATGAGTGTTAAAAGTATGCCAAATGATTAGAGCTAACAAAGTTTAAAAACATGTGTCCCAAAGGTACGTGTCTGTGACAGAATAAACATATAACAAATCAACAACAACTTCTTCCAGAATCTGAGAACTAGAAAAAAGATTTGAAACTTATGCTTGGAAAAGCTTGGCTCTTCTAGCAGCTTCTTCTTCAGCCTCTCTCTTCTTTTTGGCTTCCAACTCAGCAGGATCAGTTGAAGGTGGCTTAAGAACCAAACGAGGACGTTCAGCCTCGATATTAGGATCATCGCTAATTACTTCATCTTCAAACTGCCTTGTTTAAAACACATATAACTCAACCTTACCTCTATGACTATTGCGCCTTCTTCCTTCCTGTCGGCCGGTTTGCACACGGCCTCCTCTTCCTACCACTTGGAATCCTCCATTACCACCACGTCCTGCAAACTTCCATTTTTCAAAGAGTAAAAAAGGTACACAAACCGCCTCCTCTGCTTCCACCTCCTCTAGAGCCTCCATGACCACCAAAGTCTCTATGTCCACCTTGGCCATCACGGCCAAGATCACGTCCACCTTCCCGTCCGCCATCACGACCACCTTCACGGCCGCCATCACGTCCTCCTCCTCGGCCACCTCTGCCACCGGGTCCTCCAGTCCGGGCTTTGGTTGTAGCTAAATCAATCCTGAGACTTCTGTTACCATATTCCTGCAAGCCACAAATAAGATAAGCCATATAACTATTGATTACAATTCCATCAAGCCCAAGTAGCGCTTGAAGCTGTTGAGCACTAGCAACTTCAACATATCCGAAACCACGGAATTGATCAGTTTCCTTATCACGAACTAATCGAATCTCACATTTTGACAGCTAAAACGAGAGAATTCTTGATAAAGAAGCAGAGAAATCTACACCTCTTCATCTGAAAACTGGCATCCTGAACGGAGAATATGCTCGATGTCACCATGAGTGCAATCGAAAGGCAAGTTTCCAACGAAAGCCTAATAAATAAAATATAAACAATGACATTATAATAGGAAAAATGCCTTGAAAGGACCAGTCTCCGGAGTTTCCATTGAATCGCGTATTTTTAATTAAAACCCTGCAAAAATCATTTAGTAAAATTATTTGTTTTTGAATTTAAATAAGGAATCTCATAATTTTCATCAGAATTTATGAATTATGATTATATTCTGTTACAATTCGAACGAAACGTGTGCAATAAAGTTGACGCCGATAAGTTCTGTACTCGTTGAAATAAAAATGTACACCGTAAGACACGCCAACGATACATTGCGTACAAACAGTGCAATAAGTAAACTTCGAGCTGATAAGGAGTACAAGGCGTCTATTGGAAATGGACTGTTCGTTTATATAAAGATAGAAATAATATAGGGGTTCTAAGATTTGTTTGTGCGGAAAGCAACTGCTTTCTGTTACTATCCAAGGTTATCAAATCGTTTTAGTCAAGGTTAACAAAAAGTTTTCTAGATTTCAGGTTAGATTTGTTGCCGGATGGTCAAATTGCAGATAACATAAAGTCTTGTGACATCAAACAGATTGTTAAAGTTAAGAACCCCTTAGAGAATGATTAAACTTTTTTGGATCAATCAAGTAACATTGGACAATTAAAAATCCGATTGAATAGTCGGTCAGTGTTCATGAAATAGGATGCCATTGGGCGGACAAACGTGTGAAGTTCAAAGAAGCAACATATTTGACACCATATTTGGGATAAACTAAAAAGAAAGTTGACCTTTGGACATTTGAAACTACGTGTGATTCCATGTAGTATATCAATAGCTCCACTTTACAGACAATAAGCGGTCACAAAGAAAGGATTTCCTTTGCAACAAGAAATTGATTGTAAAGGTCAATCGAAATCATTCTTGAATTTGAATATTCATTAATAATCCAAATAAGGCAAGATATATAATTGCCGAATGGTCTAGTGATGTGGCTTTATATGCAAAACAAAAGGAGACCAACTGCCTAAATGTTGTTGAGGAAAAGTATGAGACGAAGTATCCTTCTTTTTCGTATCACCCACATAAGGCATATTTGATGAGATTCTCCTGGTTCTTTTTGGAATCACAGAAAAAAATTTAATTACGGCTTGTTTTCTGGTTCAAACATATAAAGATTTAGCTTTCTCATCCCATCTCTTGTCTCATTCACATTTTTTGAGCATCACATAAGCTTATTAGGATAGCATTAGCCAATTAGAATTTTAAAGGCAAAGTCATATTTGGTGTCGTTATACAAGCCTTATCCCATTTATCTATTGTCAAAATCTCATTTTTCATTTTTCTTCTACAATTTCTCTCTTTCTCTCCCTCGCATCATCGGTCTAACTTCAATTTTTGATTATTCGATCTAATTTGATATAGACTCACCTCGTAAATATACCTTCCGATACCACCCACCCTTCCTGTCCCTCTACCTCTCCCCCTTCTCCCCATTCCCTCTTTCAATTTTTTTACTTGCAACAACCCCCCACCTCCAACGGAAATTTCAATAATGAAAATGAAAAATTTAAAAGTTTACATTTCTTTCTCTCCAATCTTTATTGCTTTCTAAAAATTTTTTAAACTTTACTATTCCAAATCAAAAAAAAAGCGAAACTGATATCCCTTCTGGTATAGAATCAGCACAACTACTAAAAGAGATTGGAGTCATATAGTAATAGAGAGATAGATTAAGAAAATAATAGAGAGAGAGAGAGAGGGAAAAAAAGAGTAATAGGAAGAGCTTCCAAAGGAAATCAGTTCATTTGTTTCATCTTTCCCCATCTTCTAATCTGCTATACAGACTGAACTATACAGATCTGCGGATTTCATATTAAGCTTAATAGCTCAATCTCTTATTACTAATCTCATCTATCTATTGGTCATTTTTCCAAAAGAAAATATCTTTTGTACTATAGTATTCCATATCGGCCGTATAATCCTATTCTTTCGTAAAACAAAAAAAGGAGAAAAGATTTCTGAATGAACATGCATAGGGCCGAAACTTCAAGCTTACATCCCTCCGTATAAGGATCTTTGTTAAACAGAATTTTATATAATAAAAAAGAAGAAGAAAGAAAAAAAAACTTTCTTCCTTCTAGCATTTGCTGCGAACACTGCTTCCCCCCTTTTACATCCTCACCACCCATATGGCTTTCACATCAATTCCTGTTTTTTTATGAAAATTAATTTTTTTTAAAGAAAAAAAACTAATTTTTCTTTTCTTCTTCTTCTTCTTCATCTTGTTTTAATTATACAAATAATTTGCATCATATTCTATATTTTTCACATATATCTTTCTTTCAATATGAAAAATTAACATATTTTACATGATTTACGTATATTCTAATTAGAATTTATTTTCTTCTCACGTGAACTTTACGTCAATGCTCATTTCATTTGAATTAAGCTTACAGAGCGGTTGAATTTGAACATCTCTCCTCATCTTTCTCATTCTCATCTATATCTTTCTTTTCTTCTCATTATCTCTCTCTCTCTCTCCCCCTCTCTCTCCCTATCTATCTGTACCTTATTCATTGACTATTTGACTCGTTTTTCTTCCTCATTCATTCTTCTTGTATCCTTATATGAAACCTTGTGCTCTAGCTCTCTTCCTCTCTCTTCCTTTCACCCTATACATATCTCTCCTTTTTCCTATTTCTTACTACGAAAAGCAAAGTCAAATGATATCATGAGAGAAATGACCAAGAAACTCAAGATGTTATTTGCAAAATCCTTTAAATCCTTTATAGAAACCAACTTAATAAAAAAACTGAAGGATAATGCATGAAGAAGTAGAGGAAGATGGTTACAGAAAGAAAAGATAAAACTTGTATTGTAACTTTCATTCTGCACCAAAAGGAAGCTTATATCCTCTGAAATAACCTATCATCTCCCTCTCACTCTCTATTTCCATTTATTTTGGACAAAAAAATTTTTTTATTCTTTTTCCTATATATTTTGTTTGATATTATTTCATGGGAAAACAGTAAAAAAATTTCCTTTATTCTACAGCTTTGAAGCTCCAATTTTCCGAATATTCATAATCAGTGTTCATTCCTCAGAAGCATACAGACGGATAGAAGATGAGAAAAGAGTAGAAGAATCAAATGCGAAAAGATAATAAAATAAAAAATGAATTCCCAAATATTATTTGAAATAATCAAAAAAAAATTCTTTGCTCTGTAAAATGGTCTTGTAGCAATCAGAACTGTATTGTAATGATTTGCGAAATCAAAGTGTGTACGTATGTGTGCGTGTGTGTATGTGGTGTCTGTGTGTGTATGAACGTCAGATCCATTTAGCATCTCTTCAGTAAGTACTGTATGTTTTGAAAAATAAAAAAAAACAAAAAAAAACAAATTAAAATTTGAATTTTAAATCCAAACGATCTCTTTGACGTCTTCTGATTTTTAACCCTCTTTTCAATCTCTGTTCCTCGTTCTCTCTCTACATCTACTCCTCCGATCTCCTCCTTTTTCTTTCGTCATCTGAATCCTTCATTCATCTTCTTTTTCAGATGATAGATCTTCACATAATTTTTAAATAAAAAATGACCAGAGAACCAAGAAAATTCCGCCATGCGTACATGAGAATATTTGTAATTTTCTATCCAATAGACTATTTCTTCGTTCCCTTCTTAGCTCCCTCTCTCTCTCTTTCCCTCTTTCTCTCTCTGTCTCTCTGAGCTGTCTTGCTAACATAACTACCCTTTCTACTTCATTGTATTCATTTTGCTCTCTCTCTCACACATTTTCAGCCTCCATATTCTCATTCTCTCCTTACATCTATTATGTACTTCATATCACAATCATAACATCCAAAGAAAATAGATTTTATTCTTTGAGCAGCAACATCTTCATCTATCGTCGTGAAAAGCAATTCATGCTCAGAGGGAGTCTTTGATCAATCCTCAAATTACTTCCTTTCGACCTTTTGTTAACCATTTTAAGACAGCGAAATGTTTAAAGACAATTTTATTGAATTAAAAAATATTAAAGTCAATTTTCTATGTGATTCAGAAAGCTCTAACTATAGATCATAGCTCATTACATTTTGATGAAAGATCATATTTTTATAAATTTAAATTTTTCATAATTCCCCCCCTCTTTTCCTCCCTCTCATCTCCGCTCTGACCATCAGAAGAACATGGCTGTATAATCTTTGAAATTTATAGAGCAAAAGGTAAAGCACAATACATTCTTGTTTTTCTATTTGTTGATAGCTATCTATGTATATCCATATCAAGAAAAGTACAACGGAAGGGTCCAGTTGCGTCAATGTGTGATCACTCACATGCGCTTCTCTCTCATTCTATCCATCTACCCAAATTTCCTACTCTCTCAATATCACTGAGAACCTGTAAGTTCAGTTAGTATGCAAGAGTTTCAGTTTCAAGACGATTCTCTCCTATTCAGTCTCTCTGTCTTTTTGTATTTCAGTTTCGAAATACTTATTATAATTATTATGTAATAATGTAGTTTATAATAATGTTTGTTAGCTCATAAAGTTCTGCCGGTCACATCCACTTTCAAGCTTCCATCTCTCTTCTTACTACGTGTTCTAACTTCATACTTCATTTAGCTGTATTCGAGAAATGTTACGATAAAAGACTTAGGGGAGAGGAGAAAAAAGAAAAAAGTTTTTTTTAGCCTTTTTTCGAGTCGTTTCTCTCATATTCTCCTTATTTCACATTCTTTCTCGCATATTTCAATGACTCTATGGGTGTGTGGCATGAAACCAGCATTTCCAGAGCTGAAAGAGGCGGTCCTCCTGTGTGCTCCTTCCGTTCAAATCAGTCCCTCCTTCTTTCCCCTCGTCTCTCTTTTTTTCTCTCTTATTATAAAAGATGAAATATTATGAAAATACTTTTAAATCATACGAGAATTTGAGATTTCCAATATCTTCCAAGAGACATATTTTTATCCTTAAATATATTCGTATGAGTGTGAATATGATTGTGAGAGAGATGCAGAGTTGAAAAGAGAAAGGGGAGGAGGAAGAGTAGGAGGAGGAGCACTAGAAGATAAAGCTTGAAGGGGTTGGCCATGATTTTCTTATTCCTAGCT